AAGCTCCCCAGGTGATTCTTAGAACACTGATGTTTGAAACGTGATATTTTGCAGATAGAACCTACACCATTCTATCATTACCTACAGGTAATAATAAAAATATTTTTAAAACTGACTTCAATAATTCACTGGAGTGTCATATACCCACATGAAATACGTGAATAATTCACCAAAAGGCATGTCTTAGAATAAGCTTCAGTGAAACTAGCAAAAGAACATATCCGGCCAACCTTCAGAAAATTAATACATCATTGCTCTCATAAGCCACGGTTTGGAACTTGTTTGTTACATAGCAATATATAACTAACATAGCTTTGAATGGTATTCAATTTGCTGACCGTGTGGGAGATGAGCATTACTTCAGAGTACAGAAGGAAATTGAGTGGAAGAAGCAATATTGTATTCATCTGGTTTCACCCTGCTAATAAAGACATACCCAAGACTGGGTAATTTAAACAGAAAAGAGGTTTAATGGACTCACAGTTTCACATGGCTGGGGAGGCCTCACAATCATGGCAGAAGACAAGGATGAGCAAGTCACATCTTACATGGATGGCAGCAGGCAGAGAGAGACAGAACTTGTGCAGGAGAACTCCTCCTTATAAAACCATCAGATCTTGTGAGACTTAATCACTATCACGAGAACAGCACAGGAAAGACTGCCCCCATGATTCAATTACCTCCCACTGGGTCCCTCCCATGACATGTGGGAGTTGTGGAAGCTATAATTCAAGATGAGACTTGGGTGGGTACATAGCCAAACCATATCAAATAGGTAAGAGCAAAGAATAATTAACTTGTTGACTCTTCTTAGCCTACAAGCAGTTTATACTCATATTACAAAGTATCATTTCCCTATAATGCCAGAGAATCCGCTTACTTGCTTTTCTTTGTGTTTCAGTCCTCAGTTCTGAGATACTCACAAATTAGTGTAGCATTGCAACAGTTGCACATGGCAGCTGAGGAACATTTTGCAAAAATCACAAAATTCATATTACCCTTGAATTTGTATATAAATATATAGACCTAGAGGTAATGTGAATGGTGATACTAATCATAATTCTCTCCATTGGAAAGTAGATATACATTGAATACTAGAATGTAGTAGTTTTATTTTCTATTAAAATATTTCATAAGATTAGTTTTTTAAAAATTACACTCTGGCTTTATTGAATAATTTCTTCACATTTTCACTTTTTAATTTTAAGACAATTTTGGATATTTAAAGATAAAAGTAACTTTTGAAAATATGAGACCACTATAATTTTTTTATTTTCTAACATTTAATTTACATTTTTAGATAAAAATATATTCAAAGTTTGAATATTTGAAAACAACTACACATCATTATTTAAGCCTTTAGATCCTTGAAATGAGTACAGGTCAAGACCATAACAGAAATAGGTAATATAAAAGTAAAGTTCATGGCCAGGCATAGTGGCTCATGCTTGTAATCCCAGCACTTTGGGAGGCTGACAAGGGAGGATCCCTTGAGCCCAGTAGTTCAAGACCAGCCTGGGCAACACAAGGAGACTTTATCTCTTTAAAAAAAATGTTAAAAATTAGCCAAGTGTGGTGGCATGTAGTCCCAGCTACTCAGGAGGCTGAGGCGCGAGGATTGCTTGGATTGCTTGGAGATTGAGGCTGCGGTGAGCTGTAATTGTGCCATTGCACTATAGCCTGGGTGACAGAGTGAGACCCTATCTTGAAAATAAATAGATAAGTAAATAAAATAGAATCAGAAGAGAAACAAACTGAAAGGGAAAAATAGAAAATTTTCAAATAAGAGGCTATTTAAAATTTTAACACTGACAACAATAAAAACTAGCAGACTTTATTGAGCATAACTCATGTAAAGTTCAGAAATAGGGCATTATAAATTATGAATGAAGATTACTCATGAAAATGAAACAGGTATTTATTCTTATCAAATTCACAACTTGAACTTCAAGTCAGATTCAATCTTAGCAACTTCAAATTATTTGGTAAATGATTCTTTAGCTACTGTATTAGTCCATTCTCATATTGCTATAAAGAACTACCTGAGACTGGGTAATTTATGAAGAAAAGAAGTTTAATTGACTCACAGTTCCGCCGGTTTAACAGGAAGCAAGACTGGGAGGCCTCAGGAAGCTTACAATCCTGGTGGAAGTTGAAGGGGAAGCAAGCACCTTGTTTACGTGGTGGCAGGAAAGAGAGAGAAGGAGAGTGAGGAGGGGAGGTGCCACATACTTCTAAGCCATCAGATCTTGTGAAAACTCACTCACTATCATGAGAACAGCATGGGGGAAGTCCACCCCCAAGATCCAATCACCTCTTACCAGGTCCCTCCCTCAACATTGGGAATTATAATTCAACAGGAGATTTGGGTGGGGACACAGAGCCAAACTATATCAGCTACTGATTATAAAAGTGAGATAGAAAAGAGAATTATTCATATCAAATACATAATTCAGGAGGAACAAATGTAACTCTCAGCTGCACCTTGCAAGATAGAGAAAATTATATCCATGAAATCAGCAAATTGGTTGAAAAGTTAGAACCTCCAGAGTGTCACTAGGTTTGTTGGATAATGATTCTGGAAATTGATCCTACTCCTTTAAACAGCATGAGATTCTTTGTAGCAAAATATAACGTGCTTCAAATTAATGATTATGATTTTTCCTCAGATAAGCATAACAGAAAATTTGGTATTTCATCTGTATTTGTCTGTTTTCACACTGCTATAAAGAAATACCTGACTGGGTAATTTGTAAAGGAAAGAGGTTGAATTGACTCACAGTTTTGCATGGATGGGAAGGCCTCAGGAAACTCACAATCATGGTGGAAGGTGCAGAAGAAGCAGGCACCTTCCTCACAAGGCGACAGGAGGGGGTGAGAGCAAGCAGGGAAGATGGCAGATGCTTATAAAACCGTCAGATCTCATAAAGATTCACTCACTATCACGAAAACAGCATGGGGAAGTCTAACTTCATGATCCAATCACTTCCCTCCCTCCCTGTACAAGTGGGGATTATCAGTCCCTCCCTTGACACATGGGGATGACAATTTGAGATGAGATTTGGGTGGTGACACAGAGTCAAACTACATCATCATCTAACATTAGTTCTTCTAAAAAGAGGGTATTAAGCATTACTATTTATTCTGTTGTTTTGACATCTAGGGTCTTACTGACTATTGGGAGACTGGCCCTCCATAGGCTAGCCAGCCGATTCCTAGGGAGAGTAAAGGACTCATCTGTGAGCTGTCGTTCATATGCAAACCTACTGATCCCTAGCCCATATCCACATCCTGCTCTTACACTCAAGGCCACTTTCCACCAACCCTGGTCACCCCAGAGCCAGGTATCAGGCAACTAGGGACGGCTCCTATACCCCTAGAGATCACTGAAATTATTCAAACTAGCCAATCCTAAACCTGCTTACCCTGCCTCATCTGTTCCTTCCTGTAGAAACCACAGTACAGGCTCTTGCATATGTTTTCTCCTCACTCCTTTTGCTTCTTGACCAACCCTGGTGCTTACCTGTGAGGCATGTCCTCTTGTATTAGTCTGTTGTCATACTGCTAATAAAGACATACCCGAGACTGGGTCATTTACAAAGGAAAGAAGTTTAATGGACTTACAGTTCCACATGTCTGGGGAAGCCTCACAATCATGGCAGAAGATGAAGGAAGAGCAAAGGGAAGTCTTATATGGTGGCAGGTAAAGAGGGCTTGTGCAGGGGAACTCCCATTTATAAAACCATCAGATCTCATGAGACTTATTCACCACTATGAGAAAAGCATGGGAAAGACTCACCCCCATGATTCAATTACTTCCCACTGGGCCCATCCCACAACACATGGGAATTATGGGAGCTACAATTCAAGATGAGATTTGGGCAGGGACACAGCCAAACCATATCACCTCTCTTCTTGGAACTGTGAATAACAAACTATCTTTTCAATGGCAGTCATCTCCTGATCTGTTGGCCTTAGCATACCCGAATAATAAAACCCACATTTTAAAGCACAGAGAAAGACCCTGTAGAAACTGGCTTTTATATTTTAAGTCCAAGGAAAAGCAATTTTGTATTCCCATGATGTGTTTGACAAACCTAGTTTTCAGGATTATCTTTGGCCAAGGTGTGTATTGATGACTACCTAAACTAGATTCTGCAGTAGAATTTAGTAATCTAGATTCTTCATTAAAGGAATATGAAACATCACATGTACATAAAAAGGAAGCACATATGCAATTACTAAAACTGGGTGGGGGGGAAGGTGAGTAGGTTAGTAAACAGTAAACAATTTATAATATTGAAAAATAACAAGTCAATACTGGCTAGGAATATTGGCTTAAGTTTCTTGAAAAACAACAGTATTAAGCCAAGCATTTTGGTGTCCTCTTTAAGCAATCTTTGCTTAACTGACTGCACAATGTCTAAAGAAAACAATGGAAAGTACTATAAATACTTTTGAAATTTGGTGCTAGAATGGCCAAATAGATAAAAATAAGGAGGCAAATGATTATTATCTAGGATGGATAATATTGATAATAATGATTGTAATATTAAAAATATTACTATCTTTTTTTACCTATAAATTCAAAGTAGGTAAAAATAAATGATTGTAATATTTTCAAAAAAGAAATTTATATTTGGTTCAATTTGATCATCAGAGACAAATGTCACTTCAACTAACAGTTATTATATGTATTGTTGAACTACCAGAAAAAGAAAACAAGAAGGTTGATGTGAATATTTTATTCATTTTACACCTTTTGCAAAAAGCATAGCTATTGTCTCTAGTGATGTGGGGGTTTGAGCACCTTTCCATATGTTTATCAATTTTTTTTTTTTTTTTGAAGTACTTGCTTCTTTTCTGACAATTTCTGTATTCGATGTCTATTTCTTTCTTTTACTTTTCTTTTTTTTTTTTTTTTTTTAGAGATGGGGTCTCACTGTGTTGCCCAGGCTGGTCCCAAACACCTGGGCTCAAGCAATCTTCCTGCTCTGTCTCCCAAAGTGCTGAGATTACAGGTGTAAGCCACCATGCCCAGCCTAGATGTCTATTTTTTATTGATTAGTTCTTTATATATTCTAGGTACAAGTCCATTGACTGACTTTTTATATCTACTGAGTGCCTTGTATTTTTAGTCTTAGTATCTTTGATAAGAAATTCAGAATTTTAAAATTTTAATGTAGTTCATTTTAATTATATCCTTTTTCATTGGCAGTTTTTCTGTCCCATTTAAACCATCTTTTCCTTCCCTGAATAAATGAAAATATTCTATGATTTCTTCTAGAGGATGTATTGTCTTTTTAGATGTGGAACTACAATTTATTTAGAATTGAGATTTGTGTATAATGTGAGGTAGGGGTCAAGATGTGGATATCCATTAGGCTAAATACCGTTTGTTGAAAAGGTCATCTTGGCTAGGCATGGGGACTCACGCCTGTAATCTCAGCACTTTTGGAGGCCAAGGCAGTTGAATCGCTTGAGTCCAGGAGTTCAAGATGAGCCTGGGCAACATAGTGAGATGCAATCTCAAAAGAAAAAGAAAAAAGAAAAGGTCATTTTTTCCTTCCTCAATGCTCTGAAGTGCCACCCTTGTCATAAACATATTACGCTGTTTTATTTCAAGGGATTTTTCTGTTTTGATATAAATTTGTACATGGCTTGAAATTGATTTAGATTCCCCCCTCTCCTTAGGCCCCCATGTGAATTCAATACAGGAGCTGTTTGGGGGTTTAATTATTGTCACCAGACCATCAGAAAGCGTCTTCACGTAGTATATCAATTAGCTTTCAAGGTAAAGTATAAATTCTAATTTCTGGATGGATCAGAACTTTCTTTCAACTCTTACCTCATTCCTTTTTACTTCCGCAGACTGCAGTTATGAAGATGTCAGGACCGTTCTAGTTGGTTATTTGTCTTCCATGTTCACAAACTTCCTAAAGGCCCAAATTGCTTATCTTTTCGTCACAGTTGTATTGATACCTTCTTTTTCCTTTGACCATTCAAAAGAATACCCACTCTCTCAGGAGGGTTGAGCTAAAGCTGGGGACACAGGAGCTAAATGGAGACACATAAAAGACTTATTCCTTAGGCTAGGCATGGTGGCTCATGCTGTAATAATCTCAGCACTTTGGGAGTCCCAGATGGAAGGACTGCTTGAGGCCAGGAGTTCAAGACCAGCCTGGATTAAATGGTGACACCCCTATCTCTACAAAAAAGAAAAAAAGTTTTAAAAAAAATAGCCAGACATGGTGGTGTATCCCTATACTCTCAGCACTCTGTAGGCTAAGGTGGGAGGATCACTTGAGCCCAGGAGTACAAAGTTATAATAAACTGTGATAGTGCCAAAGCTGTCTAGCCTGGGCAACGGAGCCAGAGCCACCCTTTTTTTTTTTCTTTTTTCTTTTTTTTTTTTTTTTTAAATAAAGACTTATTCCTTAGTGATTTTCCAGTGAGGAACTGGGGAGGCCATCTAGGTCTGTCTCCACCCAGAGTTTCTGGGAAGAACCCAGCAGTTGAGGACAAATGAAAACTTCCATGAGGCTCAAAGTACAGCAAACATCTAACTTAATTCCAATTCTCAAAGTTCCTTTTGTTCTTGGGCTTACCACATCCCCAAATCCACCAAAAGACAAACATAGCCAATTAGAATATCAAAAAGGGCCAAATTAAATGCCAAAACTCAAGAGGGAAAGTATACCAAAAGGAACAACTTTTACCTGACTAGTTCAGATTGGGTAATTTCTTTTTGTTTTTCTTTTTCTTTTTTTTTTGAGACAGAGTCTCGGTCTGTCGCCCAGGCTGGAGTGCAGTGGCGCGATCTCGGCTCACTGCAAGCTCCGCCCCCCCGGGTTCACGCGCCCAGCACCACGCCCAGCTAATTTTTTTTTTTTTTTTTTTTTTTTTTTTTTTCCCAGCTTTAATGAGTTTTTTTTTTTTTTTTTTTTTTTTTTTTTTTTAGTTTTAGTAGAGAAGCAGATGGTCTAGATCTCCTGACCTCGTGATCCGCCCGTCTCGGCCTCCCAAAGTGCTGGGATTACAGGCGTGAGCCACCGCACCCGCCAGGTTGGGTAATTTCTGTAAGTCCAGGAGTCATTAACAAAACCTCTTGGGACCCAAAAGTTATTCTCCAAAAGACAGAGACGCAGCTGAAATCTTTGGTAAAAACCAAAACAGAAACTAGTAGGACTTTTTAATTTCTCTGGCGTGCAGGGCACACATGTAGATTTGTTCACAAATTAACATGCTCTTCAGATGCCTCCAGTGTAGGTGAGTAACAGCAGAGGCCCACAACTGGGATAATAGCCTAGGCAGAAGCTCACAGCCTGAGTAACAAGGCAGGGCAAAATTTACAGTTCAGATAGCTATGGGTAAAGTCCAGGCTGAAAATCTGTGAAACTGGATTCACTATTCTTTTCTGAATCTGTGTGACAGGTTCAAAGTTCAAGGAGCAGTGCAGAGGGTCCACATCTACCTATGGGACAACACGGCAGAGAACTCAGAGCTGGGAATCTAGGAAGATGGAGACTGAAAGCAGAGCCCTTCCCCTCCCACCGCTACTCCAGTATAAATGCATTTCTCCTAACAGACCAGCCAGGACCATGAACAGAAAAAAAAAGTTTTTCTGGGCCAGGAGCAGTGGCTCACGATCCCAGCACTTTGGGAGGCCGAGGTGGGTGGATCACGAGGAGGAGTTCAAGACCAGCCTGGCCAGCATGCTGAAACCCTGCTTCTACTAAAAATACAAAAATTAGCCAGGCATAGTGGTGCGTGCCTGTAATCCCAGGTCTTCAGGAGGCTGAGGCAGGAGAATCACTTGAATTGGGAGGCAGAGGTTGCAGTGGCCAAGATTGTGCCACTGCACTCCAGCCTGGGTGACAGAGCGAGACTCTGCACCCCCACCAAAAAAAAAAAAAAAAAAAGAAAAGGGAAAGGAAAAGGAAAAAAAAAGTTTTTCTGAAAGTAGGAAGCTTGATAAACAACCGTTTAAATAGCTCAGTAGTTCTTGACCTTGACTGCACCCTGGCAAGTTTCAAAACAGGGTCTCCCTCTGTTGCCCAGGCTGAAGTGCAGTGATGCAACCTCGGCTCACTGCAACCTCTGCCTCCCAGGCTCAAGCGATCCTCCCACCTCAGCCTCTCAAGTGTCTGGGATCTCAGTGTGCACCACCACACCCAGCTAATTTTTTTGTAGTTTTTATAGAAGCAGGGTTTCACCATGTTGCCCAGGCTGGTCTCAAACTCCTGAGTTCAGGTGATCCCCCTGCCTCAGCCTCTCAAAGTCCCAGGATTACAGGCATGAGCCACTGTACCCAGCACCCCTAGCAAGTTTCAAAAGTACTGATTGATGCCTGGGCTCTACGTGCTCCTGTGATTTGGATTCAATTACTGTGGGATGAAGCCCCAGTGTAAGTAATTTTTTTAAGTTACCCAAGTAATTCTCAATGTGCGGTCTGGGTTGAGAGCTCCCGAATTAATTTAAGCACCTTAGGACAGCAGTCACATGACCACAGCTTAAAGAGCGAACAGTCCCCAAGAGTGTGGGCCCAAACTGCTGGGAAAGACTTTTCAATGATTAGATTCGGGGTGAGTTAATTAAAGGAATACTCGAAGATTATGCAGCAAAAGATCAAGTTGTTTCTAGGTGTTCACTTACTTTAAAGCTTGTACAAAACATTATCTGACAACTTGACTAAAGTTGTTTAACCTAGTAATTTTTTAAAGAAGGTGTTGTTATAATAAAACATGGGGAGAACATCTCATGACTCCAATAAACTCAGACTTCAATACCATGGGATATGAGGTATGGGGGAGTGAAAGAAACACGAGCTTTGAGAAGAGAACAAAGTAGGTATAAAACCTGTGCTGCCAGTTTTTAGCTGCAGGACCTGAGGTGGCTCACTGAACCTTTCTGAGCCTGGAGTACTTCATCTGTAAGATGGGGATAATACCTGTTTTTTAGGAGGCTTGTAAGGATGAAATGGGATGGCGTATTTAAAACACGTTTGTTGGTTAGACTCTTTGATGTCGGAGCCACCCGGGTTAATTTGGGGTTATGATGAAGATGCTCAGGGAAGGTAACAGTCATGAGCCCTAGCTGGAATTCCCTGGGGACACTGTACTATCTTTGGGATGGGAGGCAATCCTGGCCACCTCCGCATCAGGCATCATTCATTCTGGCGTTCTGTCATAATCATGGTTCATATGCTTTCCATGTCTTTTCTTTGACTGTGGATGAAGGGCCTCTTTCCTGTTTTATTCTGAAGTCCAATTATCTGGGCCTGCTTAACCTCCTGTAGAGGAGCCCTGCTTACTAGAGCTTCCACCCCAGGCCACTTCACAGCCTGCTGGCTGACCCTAGATGGCTGCTCAAGGAGAGTGGTGAGGTCACGTGGCACCGAGCTTGCGTGGGGAGCCTTTGTGCTTCCCAGAAGGGGAGTCGATAGCAGGCAAGTGTCTGGTCTGGCCTGTCTGGTTCTGTTCTGAGTATTCCAGCCTTCAGGAGCTCACTAAATAGCAGCTGGGCCAGGCGCAGTGGCTCACATCTGTAGTCCCAGCACTTTTAGAGGCCGAGGCCAGAGGATTGCTTAGGGCCAGGAATTTGAGACCAGCATGGGAAACAGCTCAAGTGATCCACCTACCTCGGTCTCTCAAAGTGCTGGGATTATAGGCATGAGCTACCACGCCCAGGCAGCTGTTATAGTACATTGTGTTTTATCATTGGTAAAACTGTTTTTAAATTTTGTAATATCTGTTCTTAGGTATTTTAGATGAATTACTAAGTTTGGTTGTTCCATAGTGTTCCTTCAATATCTTTTATATGATATCTGTTGGGGAACAGAGAAACCTCAGCTCTATTAAAAAATAAAATTAGGCCAGGCATGGTGACTCACACCTGTAATCCCAGCACTTTGGGAGGCTGAGGTGGGTGGATCATGAGGTCAGGAGACCAGCCTGGCCAATATGGTGAAACCCCATCTCTACTAAAAATACAAAATTTAGCAGGGCGCAGTGGCGGGTGCCTGTAGTCCCAGCTATTTGGGAGGCTGAGGCAGAAGAATCACTTTAACCCAGGAAGTGGAGGTTGCAGCAAGCCAAGATCTCGCCACAACACTCTAGCCTGGGCAACAGAGCAAGACTCTGTCTCAAAAAAAAAAATGAAATTAAAATTAAAAAGAAAAAAAAAAAAGACCAGGTGTAGTGGCTCACGCCTGTAATCCCAACACTTTGGAAAGCCAAGGCAGGCAGATCATTTGAGGCTAGGAGTTCGAGACCAGCCTGGCCAACATGGTGAAACCCAGTCTCTACTAGAAATACAAAAATTAGCCTGGCATGGTGACACACACCTGTAATCCCAGCTACTCGGGAGGCTGAGACACAATAATCTCTTGAACCAGGGAGGCTGCAGTGAGTTGAGGTCGCACCACTGAGCTCCAGCCTGGGTAACAGAACGAGATTTGTCTGTCTCAAACAAGGACAACAAAAAGGCAGCTGAAACATCAAAAACCCGTTTTTTTGTCTGGCTATGACTCAAAGTCCCCACTAGAGGGCAGGAAACTTACGTTTAAGATGGATTTTATGTTCTAAAGGTTAATAAACTGGATAAATTATGATTATTGGAATCATAGTTATAGGTAACAATTGTCACACACTTTCTAAGATCAACGCACTCCTCTAAGCACTTTATGTGCATTATAGTATTTAAGTTATTTACTGTATGCTGTTTATCTAGTTCTTACCATAAATTGTAGCCATACAATTATTAACTTGCTCTTCACTTCTGTCCCCCCACTAGACTGCAAGTTTCATGAGGATAGTGTCTGTTGTATTCGCTATTCTATACTTAGTACTGTGTCTGGAATATTATAGTGACCGAATAAGTACTTGTTGAATGAATAAAAGAATCCTGACTTCAAATCCAAAAGATAGGAGCTGTTATTTTTATTTATTTGTTTTTTTTTTAGTTTTTGGGACAGGGTCTCACTCTCTCCCCCAGGCTGAAGGGCAGTGGCATGATCCTGGCTCACTACAGCCTCAACCTCCTGAGCTCAAGTGATC